TTACAAATCTTCATTTAAATGTAAGTTAGGAAATAAACATCCCAAAGCAGCAGAACCAGCTCAGGGGTTCACTCCAGAGGGAGAGGCAGGTGTGGAAAAATGTGTGTGATGGAGAACAAAGCATACTGCTAAAAGAGAGGATCCCACTCATGGTGAGAAATGCAGACAGTAGGTCTGAGACCTGATGATACAGAGCAATGGCTGCAATGGCAGTCTTAAGAAGGTGCCACCTAAAGAGGAGGGGGAGCCTCTTAGGAAAGGAAGGCATTTGGGGGGGGGATGATGATAAAGTGAAAGAAGGAAGCAGGCAGCTGAAATGAAAGCTCTTACACTGTAAGACAGTACCTCTGAATTGAAAGACACATGAAGTGACTATACCTACCCCAAACTGAGCCAACTATTAAAAAAAAAACCCATTCCATTGTACCCACAGAACAGGAAGCTCTTGAACTAAGAATGAAAAGTCCCCTATGTAGAATTTTGTGCTATTGCTGATTCAGGAAAACACTTTGCATTTAATATTTTAAAAGCTGTAAAACTGTGATTGTATTAAAGTGTCTTTTTCCCCCCATTTCTTTCAGGAAAAATGGACAAAAGGCTGTGTAAATATTGGGTATATACTTTAGAATAAATAAATCTTTAAGTTCACTTTTCCCACTAAATTTCTACCTTGAAAATTTTTGTACTCAGAGAAAAGCTGGAAATAATGGCATGACAAACATATATTCTCCATTTAAATTAAACTATTGTTAACTTTTTGCCAATTTGTTTTCTTTCTCTCCTTCTGTGTATCTATATAAATTCACAATTTTACTTCTGCATGCCTTTCCCAGAAGACAGTTTTTAAAACCCTGACATAAAAAAATTCAAATTCAGTTAACTCTTTTTCACAAAAACCTTTGCCAGTTTTAAGGATGATCTCTGTTTTACCCAGCTGAATTTCAGTGGAATTATACGATCATAATTTTCACCTCTTGGACCTGACTAAATTAAAAGTAATCAAAATTTCATATTCATCTAGGTTTTAAAACTGAGAAAAAGCTAACAATACCAACCATATTCACACAACTTTCTGACCTAAAAATTGTTAGCAAGGGATACTGGATGTGGATAGAGACTTCATTAAACTAATAGAAAAGAGAACTACTAATATTAATAGACTAAATACATCTACTCTGAATCAGTGGTTTTGAAACCATGTCTAACAGAGAGATATAAGAGAGAAAATGGGTCAAACAGAGGAACGTCAGGAGCTGCTCTGGATGAAGGGTATGGGCATCTTAACACCAACGTCCTCAGTACTTTGCTCCTCAGGTGCCTTCTCAGCCCAGGGAGCACAATCTGAATACTATTATTTTAATGCAATTGCACAGTTTTCTAGCTTTTTAAAATCACAGTATTTTGACTTGTTGAAATACAGTAAGAAACTATTAGGGAGTGCAGAGAAGTATCAATGTTTCTTACAAAACACAGAAGGCTTTGGAAATGAAAGCAAATCTTGCCAAAACTAAGTTTATGACAAAATAGCTTAGCTTTACTACCTGAGTAAATGTATATCTTATAAATATTTTTAAACAAAAGTTCTCTAAAACATAAGGTACAGAGTTTTCACATATTTGCGCTTTTCAACATTCATTAAGACCATACTATGACCAAAGAAACTATAATAAAACACAAGTGATAGTGCATCAAATTTTGTTTGATGTACCATTTCTAAAATTACAAGAATATCAGATATTATCTCAAATGTTAATTCAAAGTGACAATGATGTCAACAACAAAAAAAAAAGAGGGAGAGATACAAAGCAGCCATTACATTTAAATAGATACAATTATGAGAATGAAGAATTTTGTACCTTTTTGTGGGTTTTCAAACTCTTCAGATAAGAGGTGGTAGCAACAACCCACGCTGCAAACTCCCTTGATTTCAGACTTGGAAGTGAATATTCGCAGAGTATTTGGAGCAAGATCACCACAAGTATGTAGACCTACCATCAAACAATCCTTAAAACATGAGAAGGAAAAATAAATTTTGGAAATTAAACAGAAGGTTAAAAAATATTTCAGGTGAAGATTCTAAATGTTCATTAGAATACACAGAGCTTTTAAAATGATGAAGTTCTACCTAGAAAGTGTTGTTTGCTTTCTGTTTTCATAATAGTTATTTCCTTTAAAATAAGCAAAATGATTGTGATCTTTTATCAAAAGTAACATACTTTTGAATTGATTTTCTAGTGTTTTTGGTTACTTATCCATTTGAATTTTCTCTAGTCTTTTTTACAGCTAGAATTTGCTTAACAACTACTCAAAATAAAGGTTGGACCAATCCAATGCAGTATGCATTACTAGGACAAACATTAATATCTTACTAGTCAAATTTTAAAATTCACTTCACAAATTACCCATCGAAACTTATAAAAAACTAACTGTTGCAAAGTTGGCATTTCTACTCCAACATCAAAGAAGATTATTCATGCACTGTATCAAATATGGCAATATTAAATTCAATTAAAATTTTTTGTTCCAAATTTTTTAACATGAATTTTATGTAAAAATTCTATGAAATGTTTCTCCTAATTACCCAAAGCCTAACCTAAATGGATACATATACAGATTGGGTACCCAGGCATATACTCCCAGAATCTTGATCAATACACCAAGTCTGTTTTAACTCTTCAGTTCCTTAATTTCCTCATCAGTAAAATGAGGCTAATAATAATATCTCACTTCAATGGATTGTTGCAAGACTTTAGTAAGTCAATACTAGTAAATGACTTAGTATAACCTGTGGCATTCAATAAAGGTCAGTAAATGTTTTCTATTTTTATCATCATCATGTTATTATAAATTCAAAATAATAGACATTAAGTTGTGAATCAAGTATATTTTTATAACCATCTTTAGAACAGATACAATTGTTTCATTTCAGTTAGTTTACCGACAAGTTATTTTAGCCCATATAATTTAGTCTGCAGGCAGGGCTGAAGTTGAACCTTTCTAAAGAAAAAACTGTACCTGTAAGTTATTTTGACCTGACAGAACATGCAGTTGCTTCAACCACCATTCTCTTCAAAGCAGTTTCTGGAGTGTTGTACAACTGTTTTCCTTTTCTCAATGATTAGACAGTTTGGGTAGGTTTTATTTAGATGTTAGGATGTTATAAATAAAATGCAATTCAGACAGGAAGGGTTCATTGCTAATTAAGGGTAAATGACAGAGGTATGACTCTCTGTCTTTAAGCTTTGCTTAATTCTCCCTAAAGATAACACAAGAATTTAATCTCATCCTTTAGTGTATTCATTACACAAGATTAGTTAATAATATCAGTAGGTGGCAAACAAAAATATGCAATCAGTATATCATCCTAACAGTAAAATACTTAAGTACTGCGTGTGCACTGCAGGGTTGTAACAAGGGAGGGCATGGGGAATATTGGTTAATTCTGGTTGTTAAAATTGCTAATTCACTAAAGACCCATGCAACAATCTTCTAGCATATCTTTCATTAGAAGGGTTCTTATAGAAGTTTGGATATAGTTTTGATTATATACTTTCCAGAAGACTTTGAAAAATAAATATATGATAATAAGCACTAAAAACACGTACTTTTTGAAGTCAGGTTAAAGTAATTGGGGTTATTTAATCCTAACAGAAAGTTAAGTTATAACTTACTGATTTCATATACAGGAAAACCTGATGAAGATTACAAAGTTTCCCATAATTAATGAAATCCAAAAATATCTGGGAAAAAGGAAAACTCTCCATTCTAAAATGACCAAATAACAAAACACTGGTTAGCTACCAAACAAGGATTTAAATTTATAAAGAATTCTGGTATCTTTTGCTTACTCGTTCTTTAGGGAAGAATTTTTGAAAAATTTAACAAGAGTAGACTATTTTAACTTCAAAGGCTACCAATCACATAAATTGCATAATGAAAACTTGGCTGACTAGCTTTTGTATTAGTACATCTGTCTGATTTAGGCTTAAAAATGAGTGGAGGGCACTCCATTCTGGAAAACCATAATTGTCAAACTGTCTGATTTTGTACTCCTGTCATATTTTAATAGCTGTGGAAATCATAAAAGCCTGAATCTAGCTTTGTTTTCTTGGTCCTTTTCATTAATGTAATCAAATAAGATATGCAGGTTAAGTAAACTATTAAAATTTAATTCTATGTCTTAGAACTTTATATAAATTAAATCAAATTAAGGAATTCAAAAATAAAATCACCTCCAGATCTTTAATAATATCATGTAGTTCTGAATCAGCAGTGATAAAAGATGTTAAAGGTGAATATATATTTGATTCATTTGACTTTGATATCATTTTTCTTCTCTTTTTATTTGCTTCAGACATTTTTCTCTTGGGTATTTGGCATGAAGAAGCAGGTTCTATGGCATTAATAGGCAAAAGGTCTCTGAGAGAAAAAGTATTTTCAAAACACAAATTTTCTTCTTGATGTGAATAAACGTGTAGGTTTTCCATTTGTCTCCTGATGTTGGAAATTACAGAGCCTGAAAAATCTGGCAAAAAATCTGAGGTAGACAGCTTTTCTTGATTTGTAGTACTGTTGTTACATACTCCTTCAATATCTGCTTTGCATTTAATTTCATCTTGCACTTTCCTTTCTTCTGCCATTTGTAATGCCACTTCATTGACATCTAATTTTGACCTCCTATGATAAACTTTCCAATGTTTCTTCAACTTCTTGTTTCTCTCCTCAGCTCCGTGAGTATTGGTATTTGAGGAATCGATTCCATAAACATTTAACTTATATTTCAAGGACAAAAAGGAGCTCAGGTAGCCTTTTCCAGAACCGAGGTCAATTATCTAAAGAAAACCAGAATGAATTAAAAAAATTTTAGTCAGATGGCAATAGCATTCTCAATTTTTTTTAAACAAGTAAACAAAGGGTTGCATAATTTTTGCAACCTGTTGTGCTTTCTAAAAATTTTTTGATTCCTACTAAAACCCAACAACTCTCATAATTTTTATTCACTATTTTAAAGAAATTCTAAGCAGTATAATAATAAGTTGAGGAAAAGACATAAAATACATAAATACGGGAAATAAACTGCCTTTCTTCATAGACAGCATGACTGTATCTGCATAAAATTCTGAGAATTTACAAAAAAGTTAACAGAACTAGTAAGTGAACATAGCAATGTGCCAAGATACAGAATCATTAGCAATTAATAATGAACCATCAGAACATATACAATATGGTAAAGAACCAATAGAAAATAAAATTTAAAACCAACTGAATTAAAATAGCATTAAATAGAAATCTAGGAATAAATTTAACAAAGATTATGTAAGACCTATAAACTGAAAACTATAAAACACTGCACAGAAAAAATTTGAAAGAACTAAATAAAATATAGTATGCTCATGAAACAGCAGACTCAATATTAAGACGGCAATTCTCCCAAATTGACATACAGATTCAATGCAAGCCTAATCAAAACCCCAGCAGGGCTTTTTAAAGAAATTGCAAGCAGATATTACAATTTATATGAGAAGGCAAAGTACCTAGAATAACCAAAATAATTTTGAAAAGAAAAAGTTTGAAGATTTACACTTATTCAATAACCAATATAAAACCACAGTAATCAAACACCATAAAGATGGTATAAAAATAGACACAAAAATCAGTGGAATAAACAGAGTCCAGAAATAGAATATATAAAGAACTCTAACAACTCAATAATAAGACAAGCAAGCAACTAAAAAATGGGCAAAACACTGGAACACACACTTCACAAAACAAGATATACAAATGGCCGATATGAAAATATGCCCAACATCATTATGCTTCAGGGAATCGCAAACTAAAATCAAAATGAGATATACACAAATATAAAGTAGTACAGTCACTTTGGAAAATATCAGCAGTTTACCACAGAGTTAAAACATATACTTACACTAGATGATCTACAAATCCCACTTTGGGCTATTTACCAAAGAGAAATGAATATGTGTCTACACAGTCTTCTATGTGAATATTCACAGCAGCCAAAAGAAATGGTAACAACTCAAATGTCCATCAACTAATGAATGGAGAAACAAACTGTGGTATATCCATTCTATAGCATATTACCCCCAAAAACGTGGAACAAAGAGTAAATGCACACAGCAATGATGACTCTCAAAAGCTATGTGCTAAAGTCAAGTCAAACACAAAAATGTACATACTATTTGATTCCATTTTTACAAGTTTCTAGAAAAGTCAAAACCACAAGCAGAGCAGTGGTTCCCTAAGAACAGAGGAGGAAATATCTTGCAAAAGGGTATGAGGAAACTTTTTATGGTGACAAATATTTTTATTACAGTGGTTAAACAACTGCATACAAGTACCAAGTTTATCAAAGTGTACACCTAGAACTGGTGAATATGTAAATTATACCTCAATAAAACTAAGAATGATACAAGAAATATGAAAGTACCAAGACTGTTACTCTATTACCATGTCATTTCATAAGAAATAAATGGACAATTACAGAAATCCTATCATAAGAAACCACTATCTAATCTCATTATACCTATCTTTAATTCCTAAAATCAATTAAACCCTAACATAAGTATGAGCTGCTCCAGGAAAATCTCCTATATTTGAAATAATGCATATCATCAAATCCTCAAAAATTTCAAAACTGCAATTCAAGTAGTTCATAGGTGAGACTCCAGTAAATGATGTCTCCTAAATAAGTGTCTAGTTTACAAATAATTTCCTATGCCCCCTCCTTTTTTTTTAATGTCTAATACGTAGGCTAGGTATTATACATCTTGATTTTAAGGAACTACAATCTAACGAAAGTTACCACACCCATACTCAAGAATATAAGGACTATACAGCAGAAACTCTGTTAATCAATTTCCTCATATCTGAATCTCCAGAGAAAGCAAAGCTCTCTATCCCTTTTCTTCTACAAAACACATTCACTGATGCCAACGACAGGCTTAATGCTGGCGACCAGCGGGATGCTTGTAAGCACCAGCACATTTGTTCCCACCAATACCGATGTCTTCTTACCAAGAGGTAATTGATTTGTTCCCAGATCTGTTTGTAAAAATTCCACTTGTGAATCAGGAAAATTCTGGCTGCAAGTAACGGAACATCAAGTTTCAAACAATGAAGAAAATTCATCTCACTTAAGAAATCTGGCAGTAGAGTGGCTGAATCATTCAGAGGCTCAACCACATACGGCCACTGGACCAGCTTATTTATAAATCCTCTGGTAGCAAGATGGCTGTGAAAACTCTAAGAATCATGTCTTCACAATATAGTATCTAAAAACCTTTTTGGTAATAGGCACACTTTCTTAGAAAATCTATCAGTTGACTTTTTTCTTATTGACCCAAATTGATTTTTATCCCTCTCCAAATTGACCTTTTCAGTAACACATACAGTTTTAGCTATAGAATGAGAAACTGCAATTAAAGGTTATATAATCATACACATTTTTTACCTTCAAACTATCTGATCTGAATGGTAAAATCTCCACTATCCCGATCTCTTACCCCTTGCTCACAACAGTCTTCTTTCTTTCCTGGATCATCTTACAGGTTTTTCTAAGATAAAGGAGCCTCCAGTCTAATACCTGGTGAGAGGTATCTTCTAGTCTCCTAATTCCACTGAGAAGACTTTCTCAGAAACAATGCTACAGATACTGGTTATATTTCCTTAATAATACTAGTGTGGTACTGTATTTCAGATAGAAAAGCTGTATTTTGTAGACTGACCTAGAGATCTAAGTACCCCTTGAGGCTAATCACTTTCAAGTTTGTAACTCCAGTATGGAATTCTAACATGAGCTTCATACTCATATATGTAACAGTGTACCTAACATCCCCACTTGAATATCTAATAAGGATCTCATTTAACATGTTCAAAACTAAGTTCTTGATAGTCTCTCTAAGACCTGCCCCTCCCATAATCTTTTCCATCATAGTTAATAATATTTCCATCATTCCAGGTGGAGAAGAGGACTATTTTCTTTCTCTCACACCCTCCATCTATCTGATTTGCGAGCAAATCCATAGTCTTACCAAGGATATTTCATACCAACTGCAGTCTAAGCCTGGGCTATTACAACAGCCACCTCAGTGATCTCCTTGCTCCCACCTTTTCCACCTTGAGTCTGTTCTCAGGAGAGCAAAAACAGTCTGATCATACCACCCCTCTTAGTAAAATCTCATCACTTCCCTAATCTCATCTCCCGATACTAACCTCCTTTGTTATTGAGATTTTTGCCTCAACTCTGAAAGCACATGCTCAGGTAGGAGCTAATTTCTAAAAAGAACCAGCCTGAATGTCTACAAAGGCTATGGTGAAGAGTGCAATATAATGGAAATATTTGCTTCACAACACTCCTCAACACAGTTGTCAGGGTGATCCAGTGGTTCCAACGGTGCCCCATTCTCACTCAGGGTAAAAGCCCAAATCATCACAATGGTTTCTGTACCTTCATGACTTGCTTCTACCAGCCCAACCTCAGCTCCTACTACTGCGCCCTTGCTGTCACCACTGGAGTTAATTGGCTTCTTGGCCGTTTCAAGAATACACCAAGTGTATTCCCACTTTAGGGCCACTGAACCTGTTATTCCCTCTATGTAAAAAGTTTTTTCATCCAGATAGTCTCATAGATAACTCCCTTATGTCTTAACTCAAATGGTTACCTTTACAATGAGGTATTACTTGCCCCTCCCTTCCTAATTGAAAGCTTTAATCTTGCATCCCTGATTTAGCTACTTCCTTTTCATTTATTTTTTTCTCTTTAAAGTATATCAATGTATACAATAAAATATACTCATAATGGTTTTATTATCTCTCTCTCCTTACTAGAATATAAGTGCCATGAGCACAGAGATAGGCTTTGCTTTATTCACTCCTGTATCCTCAGCATCTGTAACAGCACTTGACACATGGCAGGAGCTTAAAAAGTACTTTATAAGTGAATGCATGCATGCAGGTATGAAGGAAGGAGCATATTTTAGAAATAAAAATTAAGAAGTAAGAAGACTTGGTAATGTGACTAACAGAGGCAAAGTTTTTGCCATGTAGGGAGCAATATGGTTGAGGCTAAAATGAATTTTTTTTTTCCTTCTCTAGTTGTCTATGTCACTAGTAAAGTTAAGATTGCAGAGTCTGGGTTTCCAACTATCTCCATGAAATCTATATTTACTAAATTTGAATTTTTAAATTAAAAATAGTAATATATAGGGGGGTGGGAAGGGACAGACTGGGATTTCAAAATTTAGATTAGATAAACAAGATTATACTGTATAGCACAGGGAAATATATACAAGATCTTGTGGTAGCTCACAGCAAAAAAAAAATGTGACAATGAATATATGTATGTTCATGTACAACTGAAAAATTGTGTTCTACACTGGAATTTGACACAACATTGTAAAATGACTATAAC